CACACACACACACACACACACACACACACTCACACACACACACACACACACACACACACACACACACACACACACACACACACACACACACACACAGCATCAGTCAGTCAGTGTGTGTTGACTTCTAATGGTTGTGTAATTTTTAATACAGAGAGTGTGTGTGTGTGTGTGTGTGTGTTGTTGATATTGACCTCTCCATTGGCAGTGGGTGTCGCTCCTATAAACTGCTGCAGGATCAGGATGTCTCTTGCCGGACCGCCGATCAGAGACGTTCCTGTGTCCACGATAGCCTGACAACCCTGAACACTGCGATAGCAGAAACTCAGAGCACCCTGAACCTTCACACTACACACACACACACACACACACACACACACACACACACACACACACACACACACAGAGAGAGAGAGAAAGAGACAAATACAGTATACATATATATACACATGTATATATTGCATATGAGGTGTAATGGATGATAAATCATGGTTGGATTAATAACCCACAGATTATTAAGCTTTCTGTAATCAGTGGATTAATCCAGCATTAGTAATGTAATTATTTTTTTTTGCTGTAATATATCCTGATGAAGATGTTGTGATCTTTATTGAGCTATTAAAGATGTTTCAGTCAGTTTGTGTTTATCCTGCATTCATTAACAGATCAGCCACACAGAGTACATGATGCTGATTTGCATGTTCATTAGTCCTCTCTGATTGATGTGAGAGAGTCAGTTTGTACCATTTACACTTACAAATTAAGAATGTAATAAGACAGAAGCAGTGGGAGAACAGCAGAGTTCAGACAGAAGCACTGATGTCCATCCTGAAGATTAAAGTCTCAGATTTATACCGCTGCTGTTGAGCGATTACACTGTTTAACCAGTAGGTGGCGACAAACAGCCATCAAAACTACACCACTGAAAGCAATGGCTTATGGAACTTCTACACCAGTGGTTCCCAACCTTTTTCTTGGGGGCCCCCCCCATGAACATATACAAACATTGGAGCCCCCCCACCATATAAATACACACGCACGCACACACATATGTACTGTGTATGTATATATATATATATATATATATATATATATATATATATATATGTGTGTGTGTGTGTGTGTGTGTGTGTAATATTAATAAATAGTAATATGTTTAGAAAATATTAATTAATCAGTTTTAACTTGTCTTGGCCTTCAATAAAACCAAAATTTAGGTAGGCTTTGTCATACTGTCTAATCTTTTTCTTTGCCTCTGAAGAATCACTGCATTAACATTTGTCTGCCATTTTTGTTTTGATTTTGCCTTTACTACACGTTGACAAGCAGATTGCGCAAGTGACCAAAATTAAAATAATTATTTAAAGTTATTTATTTTAAATATTTTCACTATTATGTTGAAATTTTACGCATGTGTTTAGATTATTTTTTATTTTTTTTGGTACTTAACCCTAACCCATACATATATAATAGTAGGGCTGCTCGATTTTGGGAAAAATCATAATCACAATTATTTTGGTCATAATTGTAATCACGATTATTCAAAACCATTGCCAGTTAAAGTCAAAATTATTAGCGCTCCTGAGATTTTTTTTTTTTTTTTTTATAAATATTTCCCAAATTATTTTTAACAGAGCAAGGAATTTTAACAGTATTTCCTATAATATTTGTTTTATTTTAGCTAGAATAAAGACAGGTTTAAATATTTTGAAACCAATTTAAGGTCAATATTATTAGCCCCCTTAAGCAATATATATTTTTGATTGTCTGCAGAATAAACTACCGTTATAATGACTTGCCTTATTACCTCAATTAAGCCTTTGAACTGCACTTTAATCTGAATGCTTGTATTTTGAACAATATCTAGTAAAATATTATGTGCTGTCTTTATAGCAAAGACAAAAAGAAATCAGTAATTAGAAATGAGATATCAAAACTATTATGTTCTGAAATAAGTTAATAAAATATATTTCCATGAAACAGAAATTGGGCAGGAAAAGGTTTGCTAATATTCAAGAGGGCTAATAATTCTGACTTCAACTGTATACATAGTTATTTTCCACCCTGCAAAGGAAAGAGAAATAAATACAATAGAATAAAAATATGAAACAAACTGTGCTTTAAGCATCTTCACTGTAAGAAAAACACTTTAGCTACAGCAGTCCATCAGTCAAGAGCAGCGAGGGTTTTCTCGTTGTGTTTGTTTAATTATGATAAAAACAGGCGGCAGAAGGATTATAGCGCACTGTCTCTTTAATGGTTTCTCTTTCACGTCTTTTGATCCTCAACTCGTTTGTTTATTACACAAATGAGGGTTAATGTAAATAATCACTAAACACCGCATTCTGACACCTATTTGACCATTACAGCGTTCACGTTAAGATGACTTTAGATGTCTGCGCTCCTCTGCTCGTCTCAGTGTGTGAATGAGAGTGAATGCTGACCTGCGCATGCTTCTGACTGCGTGATCGTGCTGCACACACACATAAGCTCTTTCGCGCTTTTAAGAGCAACACGTGTACAACTGTGGCGAAATATGATGCAATAATCATTTATCTCGATTAATGCTTTTTTATAATCGTTTGAAACCGAAATCTAAATCGGATTTTCGATTAATTGCAAAGCCCTTTATAATAGTGGAGCATTTTTATGCCTTTTTCTACCTCAATACTTATCCTCTCCCGCGCCCCCCCTGTGAACTCTGGCGCCCCCCTTAGGGGGGCGCGGACCCCAGGTTGGATACCACTGTCCTACACCACCTGACCTTAGAAAAAATACGATACACTTTAGGAGGCTGTACTGATATGTTTTTTCTCACTTGGCAACCTGTTTTAGATCACGTAAAAAAGATGGACCCCTCAGTCATTTTAGAAGAGTAGAACCTTTCCTTGTTTGTTTGTTGTTGTTTTTTTTTGCTTTTTTCTCTTCAATTTTTTGTATTTTCTTTTTTTTTTTCCTTATTTATGAGAGTAACATATGCTTTACTTATTATTACTATTTATTTGTATTTTTTCCTAATATTATTTATATATTTTTTTCTAGAACCTAAATGTATGTGCGACAGGTTTTGTTTGTGTTGTGTAAAAAAAATTTAATTGAAAAGCTATTTTGTAATGTATGTTTCATATCTAATATGTTCAATAAAAATACTTTTGGAAAAAAAAAAAACTACACCAGTGAATACTCTGCAGAACTGATCATCCAGTACTGAAGCATGACGTTTACTGAGTGAAGAACTCTTCATCTATTGAAGACGAGACTAAACATTAAATATGATGTGTTGACCAGGATTATTAGCCACAGTACTCGTAAGGGTGATTTCATTATTAATCATTTCATCAGCTGATTGTTTATTGACTTCATCTTTATTAAATCGCAGCTTCTCAGTTCTGTTTGCTAAAAGCACAAGTGTCCTGCAGTGTGTTCCTGTAATGAATGGAAACCAAATCACATCTGCTGAGCCAAAACATGGTCCGATCCGTGACTAAAACACAGAAGAGTAATCTGAACAGTGAGATTTCTCTTCCATCATATATAATATAATATAATATTATAATAATAATATAATATATATTAACTACTTAATCAAAATGAGCTGACAGAACACAGTTCTTGAGATGTCACTGGGACAACTTCATTTCTTTATGTTCCATCTACATGAATTAGTTAAAAGTGTTCAGTGAACTTGGCGGTTCATTCCGCTGTGGCGACCCCGGATTAATAAAGGGACTAAGCTGACAAGAAAATGAATGAATGAATGTTCAGTTAGCTTGATGGATTTGTGTTGGTCAACATGAGTGAACAGTGTGGACCGCTGCACTCTTACAGTGTATCCTCAAACCCCCATCGTCAGATTATTGAGCTTGTTTTAAGGAAACTCTCTTCATTATTTGTGAGAACACAAGAGATGTCCTGCTTCTCTAAACATCACTGTGTGATTAAGAATGATTAGATGTTTAAAACAAGACCAGAAATGCTTGTTGTGAAGTGTCTTGACTTCATGCCAGTGTGTGTGTTAGTGTGTGTGTGTGTTAGTGTGTGTGTGTGTGCGCACTCACGCGTCCAGCTTGATCTGCCAGTAGCCCTTCTGTGTGACCGGAATCCAGTTAATGGGAGGGAGGAAGCGGGACTCGTCCATTCCCCCAAACACCAGCTCTCCTCCAAACCCTGAGCCGTTATTCCTGACATCACAGGTCATCACACACACACACACACACACACACACACACACACACACACACACGACATTAAATCGTGTATTAATGAGATTATAAGCCTTCCCATTTCCTCAGGAGTGCGCTGTCTGAGGTTTTAATCAATGACTGGAGTATTTCTGCTGTGTGTGTGTATGTGTGTGTTTGTGTGTGTGTGTGTGTGTGTGTGTGTTCCTCACGTGAGGTAGAAGGAGAAGACGGGCTGGTCCAGCATGTTCTGCTCCATCATGCTGTCGAACACAGGAGAGCCCTTCTCCTCGGCCAGCTGAGGGAAACCCAGACCCAGAACACCGTCAAACTGGGCCAGCACGAAGGAGAAGCCCGGCTCGTACACCGCCTCGCCAAACACCTGATTCTGCACACGCACCGAGCCCACCTGCACACACACAGAGAGAGGGAACGCACAACATGCATCCATCAGGCGTCGCCACAGTGGAATGAACCGCCAACTATTCCAGCATATGTTTGACACAGCGGATGCCCTTCCAGCTGCAACCCAGTACTGGGAAACACCCATACACTACAGCCAATTCAGTTGATCAGTTCCCCTATAGCGCATGTGTTGGGAGCACCCGGAGGAAACCCACGCCAACACGGGGAGAACATGCAAACTCCACACTGAAACACCAACTGACCCAGCCGAGACTCAAACCAGAGACCTTCTTACTGTGAGGCCTGAGTTTTATTCCATCAGCTGTTAACTATTGAATCAGTCAGCATGTGGGCCGCAGCAGCATCCTGCTACTGAGTAACACACTTGTGTCTGTTGTTTTCTGTTATGATAAGAGGCAGCAATCTGCCATCTAACACATCTGCCTCTGCTAATGCTACAGGCGGCGCTCCAGTACCTTGAGTTCGTCTCTGGCCATCACCCCCAGCAGGTGCCCGGAGCCGTAATGGATGCCAAAGACGCGTCCGTCATGTGTGTATGTGCTCGACTCAAAGGCCTTGAACTTGTTGTGCAGAGCTGTGCCAAGAGGAGAGCACGGTGACCCAACACACACACACACACATTATCAGAAGATCATCAGCACACACACACACACACACACACACACACACACACACACACACACACACATACTGTACACAGGAGTTGAGTGTGTGTAAATACAGGAGGATTACAGAATCACAGGCTTATAACTGTTGATTAACTTAGCACACTTCTTAAACCAGCTGACGTGTGTGTGTGTGTGTGTGCGTGCGTGTGTGTGTGTGTGTGCGTGTTACCGCAGGCCTGGCTGACGCAGTAGGACGAGGGCACCCACAGGTCAGAGGAGCCGGTGTCAAACACCACAGTGAAGTTCTGCTCCGGTCTGCCAAGACTGATCTGACCGAAGAACTGAGCCTTTACACACACACACACACACACACACACACACACACACACACACACACACACACACACACACACACACACATTACAAGCATGACCTTTGACCTTCATGAGAAGATCCTGAGTGATTCTATAAAACAGGAGATGTCTGAGTGTCAGAAAATGAGTTAGTTCAGCATATATATATATATATTTATTTAGCTCACACCACTGACAGATTATTCTGCTTGTATATTTTATTGTATTTTTCCCTTATATTTGACTCATTATTTCTGAAAACAAGACTATACTTCTGTGATCGTCTAGAAAATACTTGTTGATTTAAGAGTTTGGAGATTTTTGGACTAGAAACAAAACAGAAACTCTAAAATCAGCCTCTTTTACAGGGAAAACACAACTGTTACATGATTTAAAAAGGGGAGGGGCTACTGATGAAGGGGAGGGGCTGATGATAAAGGGGAGGGGCTGATGAGGAGAAGGAGGAGCTGATGATGATAAATGGGAGGGGCTGATTATAAAGGGGAGGACCTGATGATGAAGAGGAGGAGCTGATGATGAAGAGGAGGAGCTGATGATGATAAAGGGGAGGGGCTGATTATAAAGGGGAGGACCTGATGATAAAAGGGGGGAGCTGATGATGAAGAGGAGGAGCTGATGATCAAGAGGAGGAGCTGATGATGATGAGGAGGAGCTGATGATGATAAAGGGAAGGAGCTGCTGATGAAGGGGTGGGGCTGATTATAATGAAGGGGTGGGGCTGATTAAAATAAAGGGGAGGGGCTGATGATGAGGGGTCGGAGCTTATGATGTATGAGAGGAGCTGATCATGATAAAGGGGAGGGGCTGCTGATAAGGGAAAGGAGCTGCTGATGAAGGGGAGAAACTGATTATAAAAGGGAGGAGCTATTGATGAACAGGAGGAGCTGATTATGATGAAGGGGAGGAGCTGATGATGAAGGGGAGGAGCTGATCATGATAAAGAGGAGAAGCTGCTGATGAAGGGGAGGAGCTGATCATGATAAAGAGGAGGAGCTGCTGATGAAGTGGAGGGGCTGCTGATGAAGGGGAGGATCTGATTATCAAGGGGAGGAGCTACTGATGAACAGGAGGAGATGATAAAAAAAAAGCTGAAAATAATAAAAAAAGCTGAATAAAAGCTGATCATGATAAAGGGAAGGATGAGCAGCTGATGATGAAGGAAGGGGCTAATTATGATAAAGGGGAGAATCTACTGATGAAAGGAAGGGGCTGATAATTAAGAGGAGGAGCAACTGATGACAGGGAGAAGCAGATAATAAAGAGGAGAAGCTGATGATAAAGGGGCGTGGCTGCTGATAAAGGGGAGGAGCTGATGGTGAAGGGGCGTGGCTGCTGATAAAGGGGAGGAGCTGATGGTGAAGGGGCGTGGCTGCTGATAAAGGGGAGTGGCTGCTGATGAAGGGGAGGGGCTGATAATGAAGGGGAGGAGCTACTGATGAAGGGATAGAACTAATGATGTAGGGAAGGAGCTGATCATAAAGAAGGGGAGGGGCTGCTGAAAAAGGGAAGGAGCTGATGAAGGGGGAGCTGATGATAAAGAGGAGTGGCTGCTGATGAAGGGGAAGGGCTAAAAAAGGGGAAGGGCTTCTGACAAGGGGAAGGAGCTAGTAAGGAAGGGAAGAGCAGATGACAAAAAGCACCTGATGACATAGGGGAGGTGCTACTGGTAAAGGGGAGGAGCTATTTGGCTGAAGTTGGATTGCGTTATTGATTTACTATTGTGCACACACACACTTCTCTGATCACTTCCTGATGGTGACTGTGGGTGTTTAAGTAATTCAGTAATTTGTCATCTGTTGAACGATTTGACTTTGCGTTCAGCAACAGAAGCATTAGTGTGCATGGAGACGTCACTAATGCTGAACGCCGCACAGTTACAGTGCGCTACATGACATGTGACAGGAGAGTGGAGCTCACGTCCATGAAGTTGTAGAGTCTCTCGGTGACTCTTCCGCCCAGGCGCAGGAAGTGTTGAGCGGGGGGGAAGCACTGCACATAGCGGCGGGAGAACATGTCCGGCTGGTGCTGCTTCAGGAACTCCTCCAGCTGAGCCGAGGCTCTCAGACGACTGCGCACGGATGGGTACTGACGCAACGCCACCCTGAGACACACACACACACACACACACACACACACACACGCTGTTTTTGCTCATCTACCCTGATCAGGTGTGTCATTATGGCCACCAAACAGCTCCATCTGCTGCTGTATAGAGATGATTACAGCTCAGACGGTGTGTTAAATACAGCTGATTTACCTGCTGTGTGACTGAAGCGTTCTCGTTTATAGTTGTGTTCACTATTTCAGCGGTTATCAACGACGCAGCTATAAAAGTAGAGTACAATGCTAAATCAAATGTGCAGCCGATCACCACGAGCTGAACACATCTTTTAATCTCAGTTTCTCTGCAAATCCTGTCCTGTGGACATGTCTACATGCGCTACTACGGAGATATGTTAATACACGCCTGTCAATCAATATCAGTGGGTGGAGACAACCGCAGTCCTACATCATGTTGCAGTCGGACCTCAAAATGACACTAAAAAAGGAAAATAGCGAATACAAATGATCAAGTCATCACTTATTAATAAAGGTTTTACAGATATTATCATTATAGCAAAAACACGGCAACACTAGTGAACTAGCGCCATTAAATAACATTTAAACCTGGCTATTAAATAAAAGTCTAATAATAATGTTTCAGTAAAACCTTTAATATTGCTAAAAACGTTTGTTTTTGTTGTTAAGCGAACAGTACATGAGACCTTTAAATACACAACACAGTTAAAATAATAGGAATAATGTTGTTTAGGTGCATTTATAGAGTAGAATAGTACAAACGGCAAAATTCTGACTTTAAATGTGTTCAAAGGTCAATAAAAGCTGAGAATATATATGTTTTTCCACAATAGTGCCGCATGTACATCATCTTATTAGCTCTTGGAGAAGCCGGGGTCATTTATGGTAACAAGAAAACACTTGCTGGATTAATTAAAGCAACTTTAAGTCAGAATTTGCAAGAGGTGTGAATAATATCAGGCTTGACTATAAGTGAATAACATGGTCTGAGTTTAATATTAGAAAAATAAACACATTTTCAGATGTTTTTCAATACAGATGTGCACATTTCTGCAGTGATGCGCATACCTGTCAACATCAGGACGTGAAAATAAGGGATTTACCCGCCATAATAAGGGGAAAAACACCAAGATGGACATCTTTAGATGTTATTATTATTAATTATGTGTATATGTCTGTTTAAACACACACCCAAAACCCAGACTTCGCTCTGCTTCAAATCGCCTGTACAGAATCCGCTTGATCTCTATGGAGCGCGTCAGCTGACAGTCACGCACTGCTATATGACTGCTTTGAGGATTGCATGTGAAGGGGAGACGGCAGCTGTGATGAAAATGAAGGGAATCCCGCCGTTTTTATACTTATTTAAAGTGTTTTCATCACTAAACAAAGCGAAAGCACAGAACAGACTCGCATTTAAGAGCAAGTGGCGGCCCCTGGTGGTTCGGCGGTATGGGTTGCATGTATAGAGGATCTGCTCTTTAATGTCAGATAAAGACTGAAAATACCTTTATGGGATAGAACTGTAAAATACAGGAGAATCCGGAAGAATTGACAGGTCTAGTGTGTGTGCGTTAGCTGAAAATTGCTCTCATAACCGTGTGGAAAGCACTATATAAACCACCACACACACACACACACACACCATTGAGCACATCACATTTACAGCAGAGACTGTTCAATGGTTTCTACTGTGTTTGGGGATTTACTCCAGGAGCATTTCTAAAAGACCTCCAGTGGAGACCCAACAGGACCAATACAGCTTCCATTAGAACCAATACAGCACCATCAGACCTTCTGTCAGGGTTTGTATTGGGGTTTTTCCGACTACACTCAAAACATGACGTCTAAACAATTAAAACCTGCTTTTATTCTAGCCGAAATAAAACAAATCAGACTTCCTCAAGAAGAACAAACATTATCAGACACACTGTGAACATTTCCTCAATCTGCTCAACATCATCTGGGAGATAATTGAGAACACATATTCACAGGAGGGCGAATGACACTGAACCGTATAGATGAACATGTATATATGTATGAGTTTTACCTGAGCAGGCCGTGGCTGAAGCCCAGATGGAGGACGAGGATCAGGATCAGACCAGCGCTCCTCATGATGTCCAGACCAGTGACTGACCCGCTGCTGGAGGACACACTGACACACACAGCTCTGCAAACACACACACTGATGAGGAGATATCACACCATGCTGATCCTCTGCTCCTCTCACTGTCAGCATTTCAGAGTTACTCTGAGACTGCTGTAACACTCATGCCAACACAACACGTTCACTGAACAGGTCAACATGACCAATACTTTCATCCACAGTCATTTAGGCCACACTTGGAAAATCTCAGACTTACGTTTGTGCACATCAGTGGAGCGGAGAGAAATGCTTCAGGATTAGGCTGCATCTGAGGACTTGAAAACTCCTCAATTACAAATGACAGATCCATTCATTCAGCCTGTTAATGGTGAAAACTGTTTTATTTTTCAGCAGGATGGCATCATTTGTGCTACTTGCAATGCAAAATCATTACACGCTTACATTGTTCTCTGATCTCTATATAGCAGGTTTATGGCTTCAGAAAGTTAAAGAAAATCTCCAGAAATGGTTTATAAGCTCATTTATTGCAACCCTCTAGAATCAGGAGGTCCACAATTGACCATATTTGGATCAGTCATGAATGTGCAGCTCACACACACACACAGCATGTTTGCTGATTACAGCAATATACCAACACTTAATACGACAAAAACTATTTAAAAATAGCAGCAGATGACTAGACAGATCTTATTTATAGGGTGGAGGTTTACTTTAACTAACGCTACATATAATGACCCATCAGAGTCATGTTAATCTATTTTGTTAACGGTACAGCTCAAGTCAGAATTATTCATCCCCTTTGAATTTTTTTTTTTCATTGTCCAACATTCTCCAGATGATGTTGAACAGATTCAGGGAATAATCACAGTATTTCCTCTAATGTTTGTTCTTCTGGAGAAAGTCTGATTTGTTTGGTTTCGGCTAGAATAAAAGCAGTTTTAAATAGTTTTAAAGTCATGTCAATATTATTGGCCCCTTCAGCAATATTAGTGTTGGATTGTCTCCAGAACAAACCACTGTTATACAATGACTTGCCTAATTACCCTAACTTTACCCTAATTACCCTAGTGAAGCCTTTACATGTCACTTTAAGCTGTATAGAAGTGTCTTGAAGAATATCTAGTCTAATATTATGTGCTGTCATCATGGAGAAGATGAAATAACTAAATCATAATTAAACTTGCCTTAATGGAGCGATAGAGAAGTTTTGTGTTGTATTTTTAAGCCATAATGTCAAATAAAACTCTAATCTGCACCTCTTCATGCGCAGAAGACAGCTGAGCTGGGGGATTTAACACGATTAGACATGCGTTTGTTGAAACATACGACTCAAATGTCACAATAAACAGCATAAATTAACTAAAGACGCGATTAAACACAGCTATCGCCTCTTCAGAGTGCAGCTGAATACATGTATAACCTGTAAATCCTCCATTATGCGTCCTGAGGAGAGTTTGAACATGCCTCCTGCAGTCGACGTCCAGTAGCACACGGTAAACAATCTGCATCTCCCGCTTCAAAATAAAAGTCCCACATAGATAGCAAGTCAAATATAACTATGGGGGAAATGATCATCGTTATCTCACTAGGAAACATTGTGGCTTATTAACACGAGCATATTAATGATCCCAGAGTTACATATCAGTCTGTTTTGACTGGTGAATTCCTGATAAGCAGCTGCTTATAAAATTAAAAATACTGTTCAATTTTGCTGGAAAAAACAGCTAAAAACATCAGTATTAGCTGCGAAGAAATACAACCAAGAGTATGAAACGTTCAGATTATGTAGTTATGAACAATACTTCCAGAATTAATTGGAATAAAGATGTGCTACTGATCCTGATTCATTATTATTCCACACGGCGTCTTGAAGACGGACGGTGGTCTCAGATTTCCTTCGACTTGCAGTTTTCATCCTCAAAATGACCAGTAAACCATCTACATTTCAGGAGTGAGCACTCTTGGCAGGGAAATTATGCTTTCAGAAGTGCGCACAGACTGAATATCTGCAATAATGAATTAACCACAGCGAGTGCTGTTTAGAGAGGAGGTTGGAGCATGTGCTGATGTATTTACCTGATTTATCCGACTCATCTTCAACAATTCATTCAGGATGTGTTTTCATCTAAATTAAACGTGTACAGAATCAAAGCTGTGGGACTCGCTAGTTTAAATAAGACAGAGAATAAAGATGAACGGTAACACATGTTTGATAAATGCATGCACTGACAGACACAGGGCGAGTGCAGAGACAGAGAGAGAGCCGGTGTGAGTGGTTCATGGTGTTTTTATTAAGTAAACAAAGGGTCAAAGTGTGTGTAACATTCAGACACGACCAACACTGACACTACAGGACAAGAGCTCAACTTCCTGTTCATAAATACACGGGGCTGCAGGGGCTGTTCAGCAGGGGTGATGATCCGGCACACGCTTCCTGAAACACACACACACACACACACACACACACACACACACACGTTACACACAGATTTCTCTTGGTCCTGTCCACCTAAATTAACTTTTGTTGATGATAATATGCTAATGCTTTGATATTGAAATAGTTTTTAATTGACAATTAATATCATACACTGATAAATAAAAATAACTTTACATTCACACTCTCATAGACATGAATCAAACTGACTCCCTCATGACAAATGAATCAAACTGACTCTAAAGAGAAATGAATCAAACTGACTCCCTGGAGAGAAACGAATCAAACTGACTC